CGTGGACGACATCCTTGTCTCCCCCATTTCCCCTCACCTCTCACCAGCAGGCCCTACTCTTGTTGATGAGGCCAAATCACACCAATCCTACCCCACCCAAACCTCTTCTCCTCTCTCTGTGGGATCAAGTTTTGTTGAATGTATTGACAAAGCCCAAGGGGACATCCTCCAGGTCCTCAGAGTCATGGAATTCCAGTTTGATGGGATACAGGAAGCTCTAAGCACATTTTTCTTGGCTGATCCCCATCCAAGATCCCCAGGAAGTGGCAAAGGTAAGAGGATGACCCCTAGCTTCTTCTCTGGTGATGGTTTAGATCGGGCAGGGAGCCCGGTAGCCCACTACACCCTTGTGGCCCCAGCCACTCCAGCAATTTGGCATCTTAGGTGATCCTCCAGCCTTTCCTCTTCCTCCAATCCTCGCCCATGAAAATCCTCACATGGAACATAAGAGGATTGGGCAACCTCCACAAATGTCAGGCAGTAAAAGACTTATGTTGTTAGTTTTGGCCATCATTGAAATCAAATGCCCTTCCCCCTCCCTTCTTTAGGTCTGACAGGTGTGAAGTCGCAGACCTTGCCACTAGGTTGCTTTGGAGGCCCGAAGTGCCTCAGGTGGCATTTGGGTAATATGGGATCCTACCCTCCTCTCCCTTACATCCTCATTAGCGGCCACTTATTCGGTCACAATTTTCTTCACCAGAGATTCTAATTGCCTGCACTAGAAGCTCACCATGGGCCACAGGCGAAACTCTCCTGGACTGAGAAGCCAGCTCTGGCACGAACTTGATGGCATAGCAAAATCAAACCCCTCATTGTGGTGCTTAGGGGGAGACTTTAACGTCACAAGGTGGTCCTTCGAGTGAAACTCGAACTCTCTAGTATCCCAGTGCATGCTAGACTTTTCAGATTTCATCTCAAGGAACAATGTCTTGGATACCCGCCCCCTCTCTGTAAGGAGCTAAATTTACACGGTCGAACCATTCCTTCACACCCTCCCTCTCCAAGTTGGACCGGTACCTCATTAGCCCCGAATGGGATGCCCCCTTTCCCGACTCCCTTCCCCTGGTCCTTCACCCACCTCTGATCACAAACCCATTCTTCTTGATACCCAGCCAGCCCCTAGAAGCCTCAAACCATTCTGCTTTGAACTGTATTGGGTTGAAAAGGATAATATCCACTCCCTTGTGCCATCTTGGTGGGAATCTTTCTCCAACCAGGTCTAAGATTCAGCAAGCTTCCGTCTTCAACTCAAATTACAGCTCTTGAAGACCTCCCACAAATCTTGGAGTCGACAACTCCCAAGGAGTGTGATCTCATAGAGGAGGGTAGGCCTTTGACCTTGGCCGAAGGTTCACGAAGATGCCAACGCAAACAAGATTACCAGTCCCTACTGCACAAGGAAGAAATATGTTGGTTCCTATGTTCTAGGGTCAAATGGCTTAAATACGGCAATCTTAACACCTCTTTCTTCCGTAAGATCGCAAACTGCAAAAGGAGAGACAACACCATAACCCAAATTAAAGTAGAGAACGTCACTTTCGACCATCCTCCTTTGGTAGAAAATGCCATCATCCAATTCTTCATTAACCTTTTCTCATCCCTGTCTGGCCCGAGGCTGCACATGGCTGAGCTTTCTTTCCAAGCCCTACCCCCTAAGTAGGCCACCTAGCTTGAGCGCCCCTTACTGAAGTGGAAATCCTCAAGACCATCAAGGATCTTGGGCAGGATAAAGCTCCAGGTCTGGATGGCTAACCGGTTACTCCTTTGAATACTTTCTGGAATTCTTTTCGGCCTGACCTCCGGTTACTCCTTTAAATACTTTCTAGAATTCTTTTCGGCCTGACCTCCTCTTCTTTGAGGAATTTCACTCTAGAGGTAGAATTCACAGTGCCATGAATGCCACATTCATCACGCTTGTTCCAAAGATGGAGGGAGCAGAGGATCTCAGTGACTTTATGCCAATCAGACTGATAAACAGCTCCTGTAAAATACTCTCCAAAGTACTCGCTTCCTGCCTTCGAGAGGTTCTCCATTGGGTCATTTCTCCACACCATGGGGTGTTCGTCACAGATCGCCAAATCCTTGATGGAGCCCTTATATCCCATGAATGCATCCACTCTCAACACCTTTCCAAAGTACTGGGACTAGTCATCAAGCTTGACTGGGAAAAGGCCTACGACCACGCGGATTGGATGCTCTTAGATGAAACCCTTCATCATATGGGCTTCAGGGAACATTGGAGAACCTGGATCCGAGGGCTCATATCCAATCCTTTCTTCTTAGTTCTCATCAATAGATCCCCCAAAGGATTCTTCCTCTCCTTCCGTGGTCTCAGACAAGGTGATCCCCGCTCTCCTTTCCTTTATGCCATATCAAGGAAGGTCTTGAAGAGGTCCATTACTAGATTGTATCAGAATGGACTCATTGAAGGCTTCAAGATTGGGTCTGCAAGCCATCTCACACCTCCAATATGCAGACGACACGCTCCTCTGCTGTGGGGTATCTCACCATTGATACCTTGCTGTGGTTCCTTAAGTGCTTTGAGTTCGCCACCGGATTCATCATGAACATTTTCAAGACCAAGATGATAGGGGTGTCTTCTGATGCCCTTACTATTCAAAATGTGGCTTGACTGTTGGGGGTGTGATGTCCAAACTCCAGCCTCCACCTATTTGGGGCTGCCCCTATGCGTTGGGAAGCCCAAAATTAGACAATGGAGCCCCCTCATAGACAAGTTCGATAGAAAGCTCACTAGTTGGAATGGCAGTTCCTCTCAGCTGCTGGAGAATCACTCTTAATTAAAGCAACCCTCTCAAACTTTCTCATATTTCAGATGTCTTTGTTCCATATGGCCTCCTCGATGGCCCTCCATCTCGAACAGCTCATGCGCAACCTCCTGTGGTCCGGAGACAGGGAAACCAAAAAGTTCGATCTTTTTTCCTGGAATAGAGTCTGCTTACCGAAAAACCTAGGGGGGCTGGGTATCCGCCACCTCAAAGTAAACAACATTGCTCTTCTGGGCAAACGGTGGCAATGTTTGACAACCCTAGACAAGCACCTGTGGCAAGATGTTCTCCGTTGCAAATACTGCCTTCTTTCCTCCAAATGGTTACCATCTTGGTTGTTCATCAAGTGCCTGGAGATCCATCCTCTGCAGCCTGCCTTATTTCAGAGCTAACATCAGATTTTGGCCAAGGGAGGGAGTTCTTATGAGGTTTTGATTGGATCTGTGGATTGGCAACTCCACTCTCAAGGAGCACTTCCCAAACTTGTTCATTATAGCCTGCCTGGGTCAAGGATCAGTGGCTGATCACTTTGATTCTTTGGGTCCCTCTAGAATTTGGAATCCCAGGTTCAGGAGGGTCCTTACAGACAATGAGTTGGAAGACTTCCTTGTCATGTCTACCCTCCTCCAATTGGTCTTCCTCCCTTCTCAGGGTGCCGACTGTATCATTTGTCTCTTGCAGCCTATGGTCTCTTCTCAGTTTCTTCTTTCTACCGGAAACTCCTTTTGGACTGCTCTCTTTCAACTTTTCCACCCTCTATTACCTCCAGGGCTTGTTTCCCCTTCATTCCCCCAAAATCCAGGTGTTTAACTGGATAGCCCTAGCCCAAAGAGCTCTAACAGTCGACCGGCACCAAGAAAGGGGTCTTCCCATTCCAAATATATGTGTTATGTGTACGGAGCACAAAGAGGCCAATACGAACCTCTTCATCCATTGCAAGGTGGCAATGGGAGGATCTCCTAGAGCTTTCCCACTGGTGTTGGTTGACCCTGAAAATGTTCCTATGTTATTCAGTTCCCTATACCCCTTCTCTTGGACCAAAACTGGAATTCTACTGTGGCGGGCGTCCATGGCTGCTATACTGTGGGTTCTTTGGACTAAGAGAAACCACAGACCTTTTAGGGGCGTATATTATATGCCCTCAGTCTTGAAGAAGAGGATTAAGGAGTATGTCATTTTCTGGGCAGGCTATGCTCTACTTTGCTTCCACTCACATTCCCCGGGCTTCTCTTTGGAGACCGCCCAATCCGGTGCACATTAAACTCAATTTTGATGGCTGCTCATCAAGCAATCCTGGCCCAGCAGGGATCAGGGGTATCTACTGGGACCATGAAGGAAGAACCCACTTCTCATTTTCCAAGTCCATTGGACTGGCTGATTCCAACACCGCAGAAGCAATCCCTCTCCTTGAAGGTCTGCAAAACTACGACAGCACTTGGGGTGAAAATCTAGCCGTAGAGGGTGATTCCAGCAATGTCATTAACTGGGCCTCAGGCTCATCAGTTAGTCCGTGGAAGCTGGCACATATCTTCGATGAATTCTCCCACATTTCAAGTGATTTTCTTGTCTCATGGACGCACACTCGGCGGGAAGCAAACACAGCAGTAGATGCACTTGCCAAAGATGATGCACACCATGCAGAGGACTCATCTGGAACCTATTCCGTGATTTACTAAGATCTGCCCTTGTCTTCTGTTGCGTTGTTTTAGCCATCTTATATACGCCTGTTGACCACTTTTACCTTCTTGTATAGTGAAAGGGTTCACTGTAGATGGCACCCTGGGTGTTGGTGGTCATTTTTTTATTGATTATTTTTGTAACTTTTACATCTTCAACTTTCTTTTAATACAGGTAAACATTCTAAAAATAATAATAAAAAAATAAAAAAATAAAAATCAGAAGGAATATTGAAATAGGACAAACAAATAAATATACTTATGCAAAGGAATAAAGTACAAAACAAAAAGAAATTAAATAAGGTGACAAAACAGTGATTGAACCTCACTCAAGCATCAATAGAGTGGCTGAAGTTCAATTGACCATGTTACGCTCTTACTGCAACCTTCTTTCCCAACTATTGATTGAAGCAGTTGGTTTTTAAAGCATTACTCTTTTTAAAGTTTGATATAGGATTTGATGGTTCTTCTTTGTTCTCCTATTTATCGCTTTTCGCCTTGGCCATACTTACGATACGATCAATTATGTGTGTCTCAGCATTGCCAAGCGTTTCGAGTCTATCAATACAATGGTTTCCTTCTTCTGGTGGATCGTTGGTTTCTACTGGGTTGTTGCAGGAGGTGAGGCTCTTATGCACAATGCTCCTCGGCTTTACTGGTAAGGTCACCATCCTTCGTTTCTTGAAGAAAAAAAAAATATTCTTTGATGGAGTAATTGTCTTGTAAATGACAATTTGATGATACTCTTTGCAGGTTGGCTGTTGTTTTTCTGGCATTTGATGTTCTCTTTGCAATCTTTTGCGTTGCCTTGGCTTGTATCATTGGAATTGCCCTATGCTGTTGCTTGCCTTGCATTATTGCAATCCTTTATGCAGTGGCTGGACAGGTTTGGATTGATCTCAAAAACCCATCTGAAAATATACTCAGATGATTGTTGTTCTGTTGATGGACATGCTTTTATCTGAGAAGAAACAGGAGGTCGCCTACTATCTTTAACTGAACTTATCCATCATTTGATGGAAAATAAACAGGAAGGTGCATCAGATGCCGATATCAACATCCTGCCTAGATACAGGTTCTCTCAAGCTGGAAGCCCAGAAAAGCCCATCACAGGCTCAGGGACCATGACAGCCCTCGCAAATGCAACAGATGAGCGGGTTATTTCATCAGATGAAGCGGTGAGTTTTCAATGTCACAATGTTTCTGAAGTGATACCATCTTTTGGAGTGAACTTCTCAGTAACCAAAGTTATCTCCACATTGTTTGAAATAATGATGATGATGATGATGATGATGATGATAGTAGCAGCAGCAGCAGTCATTGGGAATGTATTAGTTTGTTCTATGATTTCTTCTCACACTAATTATTTTTTTGTCATCCTAGGTTAAGATAGCCATATTTTGATGATGCTATACTGTTTGTATGTATTATGTATGTACATGAGGAAAATCAGGTTCACCTCTTCTTGAATGTCTCACTGAAGACAATTATTTGGTGAAGTGAGGGCTAAATGCTTATTTTTATATCTTTTTGGACTGGAGTTAATAGTACAAGTAATTATGTCGGGATATGATGGAACCTCTCACAATGACTTAGTTATAAAAGATGCAACATAGCTATGTACCCGATCAAGATATTCCCCATTCACATTAAATGAAATGTTTCCATATTAAATGGAAATCTTCAATCTATTCTTGAATTGCCATTGCAGGAGTGTTGTATATGCCTCTCGCCATATGAAGATGGTGTTGAAATTAATGCTCTCCCTTGCAACCACCATTTCCATTCCACTTGCATTGTTAAGTGGCTGCGGATCAATGCAACGTGTCCGCTCTGTAAGTACAATATTCTCAAGGGTGATGAGCAGGTGTAATATTTATTACAGCAATTGGATTTTGTACTCCTATGTATGTATATAGCATGAACATAACAGGATTAGGTGGGTGTTATGGCTTACCTGGTTTGCTGGTCGGTGATATCAAGTTGATATAAATTTGTTGTGAAAATTGAAAAGTTAGTTGATTTCCTTGGCATGCTAAAGCCCTGAATGAAGCATGAGTTACAAGTTTTGTCATGAAGCCATTCAATGAATTGGACTTTTTGATGCTCACAATTTTGATGGTGTGGAGGATTGCTGTGGATATTGACAAAATTGTGTACATAAGATGAGGAGATTGGCTAATATAAAAAAAAAGTCTTTTACCTATGTCCTCAATGTCTGGTGAAGGAAGTTTGCAACTTTTGTTAATACGATTATTTTATGTTTACGGGGGAAAAAAAAAGTTTGTCTGTTTCTCAAAAGTGACGCCTGTTTGCTCCCTCCCCACATGTACACAAAATTTGGGATTTGCAAATTTAGGGAGTAGTCTTGGTAAATGCTCTCAATCTTTTTGATTGGAATATTTTGTAATTTGCCCATGGCAAACTGACATGACATTTTGGCTGGGGCAACCTTATTTTGTTACTTTCTAGAAAAGATGAGAAAAGAGAAACTCAATTATTTTATTGAAAATAATTCTCTTGGAACTATTTCTCAAATAGAAGAGAAACTCAATTTGTACATAACCGAGTGCATCATCCCAGCCTATATTCAGCTTATGTAATGTTTGGAATTTGTATATTGTAGGGTGCTTGGAGTCTAGCAAACCCTCTAAATTTGCTGAATTCTTTTGGGATGGAAAATTCGCACCTCCATTGCAGATTTGCTTGGACCTGGATGGTTATCATAATACTTCAATTGTTGACCACAAACTTGTTGATGCTGATTCATTTTATATATTGTGAGAATCGTTTCTAAATACATGCCGATTGGGTGTGAAACCTTCTAAAATTTATACAAGGGCCTTAAATGTCGCATCAATGAAGCGCATTACCTGGTTATGGTACTTGGAATTTGCTAGGAAATGTCTTTGTATTACAAAAGATGATATATTATACTGAGGTTTAAAGCTTACCTCGGCCGAGGTACTCAAACCTAGGCCGAAGTAATAGAAGTCATTAAACGACCGAGAAGAATCTATAAAAATGGATTATTAAAAGTTTTGATTTGTACCTTGAATATTTTAGAAAAAACAAGTACTCCTACTTATCCAAAAAGAAACCATCAAAATCATCTAAAAACATATATCTAGATAATATCAGTGATTTTCACTTTTTTAATATTTTTTTTAACTTTTTTTTTGGTGCCCCAACCGCCAAACCAATAGGGTGAAGTGGGCTCGGTTAAGTGGGCTCGTTCGTGCCTGAAGAAACCGA